GCAGACACCCCAGGGGTGAATGAGGATTGGGTTTAGACTCAGCTCTTGTCCATTTCCGAGCCTGTGCCAGAGACCAAAGACTAGGATAAGCTGTCCCCTGAGATATCCTAGGGTCGAATGATGGGATGGGGATAGTCTTTAGGAAGGACATCTCCTAACACAAAGGTCCCCGAGAACAGAGCATGTCTCTGCTCCGGAAACAGATCGGGCTTGCCCTGCTGAGGCCTCAGCTTGGCAGGGGACCCCGGGGTACTTGACCCAGAAAGAGGCACCTGGTATCCCTTTAGGTGGTGGCACAGGTATATTTGAGCAAAGCAACTCCTGGGTAGGTTTTCCAGTCCCAGAGATCGGGGCTGGAGAAGTCACATGCCCTATCTAAAGCAGGGAGCTTATATAGCCTGCAGGTGCGGGGAGGGGGGTTGTGGATGATGACGCAATCATCACAAACTGGGTTTATGCTCAAGTATAGTCAAAAACTGTATGTTTTAGGTGGGGACTTGGGCAGCTGGCAACTTCAGGGGAGGAAGCTGCAGTAGACACCAAGAATGTGGAACTGGGCTTTTTGGTGCCTTCCCTTTGTTCGGAGATTCTGAGTGGGAAGGGTTTGGAGAGATAGACAGTAGTAGGACTTTCTGGATCATGCAGGTGCCGAGCTGGAGGTTCCAACTGAACAACACACACACACACACACACACACACACACACACACACGCATGCACGCACGCACACATGTGTGTACATATATATATATATAATGTTTGAAATTAAAATGTAATTATATCATTTCCTTCTTCCCTTTCTTCCCTCCATCACTTTCCATGTACCCTTTTTTTTTCTCTTTTGATGGATCCTGTGTGATTGTCTGTTAAGATTTAACTTTCTGCCCTCTTATGTTCTCTTTGTATATCTTCTCTCCAGCTACATTCATGGTTAATAGACTCTTTTAATCTGTTAAAATTAGTCGGTTCCCAAATTCATGCCGGGAGGACTACCTCCTCATTCCTAAGTATGTGTAGAGCATGCCTGTTAGTGTATTTCAACAACTTAAAAGAAGTTTGTGAAGTAAGTTGTATTTATATAGCTTTAAAAGTTTTTTTTAATCAAGTTGCCGATACAGCCTCTCATTTTCCCTTTAATTCAGCACAGAATATATGTATCCCATGAGAAGCAAAAGCTTAATGAACATAGATTATTCCTGCATAAACTGTGTTCAACCCCAACAGGTATGAAATCAGCCTGTCAAAAAGACATCACCTGCATTTCCTGTTATTGCCTCACAACTCTATAGCAAGGGGAGGTAACAACCTAAGTGTCAAATAACAGATAAATGGGTAAAGAAGGATAGTGTCTGTTTTATTCCCCTTCACAGTGGAATACCGTTTAGCTCTGAGAAAGAGAGCCTGCCGTTTGCAACAATGTGGGTGAATCTGAGGACATAGAGTTATTTAAGACACAAGGTCTTAAAATGTTGAGCTTAAATGGAGAGTAAAATGGTGGCTATCCAGCAAGTAAAATGGCGGTTATCCAGTAAGTAAAATGGCGGTTATCCAGCAAGTAAAATGGCAGCTATCCAGTAAGCAAAATGACGGTTATCCAGCAAGTAAAATGGCGGCTATCCAGCAAGGAGCTTCAGGGGAGATGTTGGTCAAAGGACAGAAGATTCCAGTTAGACAAGAGGAATAAGTTTTAGTGTGCATCATGGCTATGATTCCCAGTGGCATTTTCATACACTTGAAAACTGCCGTGAGAGTAAGAGGTAGTTGTTCTAACAGCAAATATGGTCACCCGTGAGGCAGCGCATCTTGAATCAGTCACCCCACAGGTTACATATGTATCAGAACATCATAAATTTAATTTTTTTCTGTTAAATAAAATAATAAAACCACCAAGAGGTGATAGTCAAGTTGGACCCATCTCACAATTGCTGTTTCTCAGCTCTGAGCTCAGCCCAGACAGTTCCTGGCTTTGGTGGAGTCCCAGTGCCCCGCCCTGCCGGGCATTCTCTTCTCTGCCTCTTCTCCTTCCTCCTTCCTCACCCGACTGACTCCTCCTATCCCACGCACGAGAGGTCAGTGTTCTGACCTCTTGAGGTAGATACCCCTTCAAAGCACTCCTGGTCCTCAGTCTCTCTGTATCACTTTGTCCAGATTTTGTCCAGATTTTGTCCAATGTCCTATTGTGCCAGACGCCTGCTCTTTGCCGGAGAGCTTATAACCATCACATAAGCTGATCTATGCTGGGTGGTCATGGTGGTGAATTGTCGGGTGGCTCCTGCAAACCTATTCATATTCTCTAGAGTTGCCTGGAAGAGTGGTGTTTGAAGTGGATGTGTGCACATTTGAGAATATGCAAGATTGTTCATAGTGGTGAAGGTAGAAAATATACTAAGTTTTACTTATTTTATTTTCGAGGCAGGTTTTTGGTATGCAACCCACACTGGTGTTGAATGTGCTATCTAATCCAGGCTAACCTCGGACTCAAGGTGATCTTTCCACCTGAGCATCCCAGGGGCTGGACCGCCACACTCAGCCACTTCTATTACGATTTTTGAGCAAGACTAAGAAATTTAGGCTTTAGATATTTAAAACCTTGAGTGAGATGGAATATGCATCCCACTTTATAAATGTAGATTGGTATTGGTAACAAATGCCACGTGTTTATTGATGGCGTGCTTCCTCAGAAACACCTGGAGAACTCTGCCATAGAGGCAAACTGATATCGTGATGGACGCCTCCCCAAGCTCTCTGATACCCTGATGAGTACCAGTTGCTTCCTGTGTGTCCTGGACCATTCTGTATATTGCAGGCAACAACAGCCTTTCCACAAACCACTATATGAGTTTGGAACAAATATTAGCATTTTTGTTTTATGGATGAAAATACTGAGCTGGAGAATCAGGCCCAAGGAGAGGGCAGGAAGAGCACAAATTCTTAATAGAACCCTGAATGTGGTCTGATTTCAGAGACTGATTTCACAGCAGAGTTAATTCTGCCGTGTTCTGTTATCTTCCTGCTCTCACGTGGTAGACACACATGACTTCTGGGAGGAGAGAGACACTGTGGTTCCTTTAACAAATAGGTCTTCAATGAAAGAACCTAGGGCCTATTATCACATCCGATGGGAACTTTGAAGAAGTACTTCGTCAATGAACTTGAAACCATTTTTTTTCCTTGAAATAAATGGCTCTGATGAGAAACTGGCATGTGGTAAATTATCAGGTCTACTTTTAGAAACTGTACGTGAAAAATAGTCTGTACCACCCTGATCATCATGAGTCACGGATGAGTCCCAGCTCATCCCTGACATGACTAATACCTTCCTTTATCATGAGTATGTGAGAACATTAAAAGTGAGCCTTACTGGGGGTGGAGCCCAGTACAGAGCACATGCTACACGACATGAAGCCCAGGGCTCTATTCCCTGTACTACGACCCCCAGGTAAACCAGAACAATAAGCTCTGAGCCTCAGGCTTTCTCTGTGTCTTCTCTGAAGGGTCCCTCAAACATGTGTAACCACAAGAGTGTTAGAGCCTGGGGACAGTGAGTGATGATGATGGGGACGGGGCTTGCTGGGATTTGACCACTGACTGATGACATTTGCCACAAGGATAGGTTATAACTTTTTGGTTATTTTGGGCATTAATAAAGCTGTTTTGACACTGATGACAACTTATGCTGGAGAGGTTGTAGGATAAAGGGAACACTTCTGCATTGCTCGTGGGAATGCAAGATGATACAGCCCCTCTGGATGTCTGTGTGGTGATTTCTCAGAAAATTAGGAAACAACATTTCTCAAGACCCAGCAATACCACTTTTGAGTATATATCCAAAGGATGCTCAATCGTGCCACAAGGACATATGCTCAACTATGTTCATAGCAGCTTTGTTTGTCATAGCCAAAACCTGGAAATAACCTAAATGCTCCTTGACCAAAGAATGGATAAGGAAAATGTGGTACATTTACACAGTGGAGTACTACACAGCAGAAAAAAAAGTAACGACAGCTCAAATTGTGCAAGAAAAGGGATGGAGCTAGAAAACACCATTTTGAGTGAGGTAACCCAAACACAGAAAGATAATTATCACATGTACTCATTTATAGGTGGTTTTAAAACATAAAGCAAAGAAAGCCAGCCTACAAACCACAATCCCAGATAACTTAGACAACAACCAGGACACTAAGAGAGACTTACATAGATCTAGTCTACATGGGAAGTAGAAAGTAGAAAAAGACAAGATCTCCTGAGTAAATTGGGAGCATGGGGACCTTGGGAGAAGGTTGATAGGGAGGGGAGAGACAGCGAGGGGAGCAGAGAAAAATGTAGAGCTCAATAAAAACTGAACAAAAAGTTAAAATAAAAAAAGCTGTTTTGAGCCAAGTGCTGGGCTGAGCTCCTGGAGTTCAGTTGAAGAGAGGGAGAAAGGATTATATGAGCAAGGGGAGGGGTCAGGATCAGGAAAACAACAGAGACAGCTGTGGGAGCTTATGGACTCTGGACTGACAGCTGGGGAATGTTCATGGGACCAAACTAGGCCCTCTGAATGTGGGTGACAGTTGTGTGGCTTAATCTGTGTATGTGTGTGTAGACTGCTGGCAGTGGAACCAGGACTTATCCCCGGTGCATGAACTGGCTTTTTGGAGCCCATTCCCTATGGAATTCCCTATGGTGGGATACCTTGCTCAGCCTTGATATACAGGGGAGGGGCTTGGTATTGCCATAACTTGGTGTGCCAGACTTTGTTGACTCCCCAAGGGTAGCCTTACCCCCTCAGAGGAGTGGATGGCGGTGGGATAGGAGAAGGGGAGGAGGGGGAACTGAGGTTGGTATTTAAAATGAATTTTTTTTTGGTAAATAAAAAAATAAAGCTGTTTTGGTTTGGTCAAGTAAGTTTATGGTTCTATCCATATCTCAGAGTGCTTAGAGTTTTTTAAGTCTTGTGCTGCAGCATTATAGTTAAATTTTGACAAATACCTTTTCTTTCTCATTTTTCCTTTATAGGCTTTTTCAAGACTCTTACTCTTCCATCAGTAAGTATCTATTTAAATTATTTGGTTTCAATAAATAAATAAATAAATAAGTTAAAAAATTGGTTTTAGAAATACATTTCAAGTCAGATATAGTGGTGTATTTCTATAATCCCAGCATTCAGGAGGCAGAGGAAGATGGAACTGAGTTCGAAGCCAGTCTGGTCTATAGAGTGAGTTCAAGGATTACCAAGGCTACGCAGGGAAACCCTGTCTTGAAAACAAACAAACAACTAAACAAAACAAAATCCTCAAAAGAACCACAACGAAAAGAAATACATTGTAACTATGGCATATGGACCTTTTTATTGGCTCCTTATTTACATCTCTTGTAAGTTTGGTGCAGTTTTCAAATATTTAAGAGCAGCATTCTGTAGAGAGATTGGCTATTATATCCTCAGAACTCCTAGCAGGGATTTTTCTTCAATAAACTCGAGTATCAGAGCACTTCAGTGTTTGGCCCTACTCATGTTTTAATGAGTTTTTTTCTTCCTTTGTCTGCATTTTTTTTTTTTTTTTTTTTTTTTTTTTTGTGATTTTTCGAGACAGGGTTTCTCTGTGGTTTTGGAGCCTGTCCTGGAACTAGCTCTTGTAGACCAGGCTGGTCTCGAACTCACAGAGATCCGCCTGCCTCTGCCTCCCGAGTGCTGGGATTAAAGGCGTGCGCCACCACCGCCCGGCTCTTTGTCTGCATTTTTAAAGACAGGTTCTCACTATGTAACCATATATTCCTGGCTGGCCATGAATTTATAGAGATCTGTCTGCTTGTGCTTCCTTAGTGCTGGGTTTAAAGGCTTGTACCACCAGACCCAGTGGATTTTTAATTTTTTAAAAATTAACATTCCAAAATTACACATAATAGTCTTCACTATGATATTTTCATACATTTATATATATATGTATTTTGATCATCCATTACCCTTTCTTGTCCCCCTCCTATCCCTTCCTGTTCTCAATCAGTTTTCCTTTTATTTCCATGTCTTGTTTGGTGACCCAGTGCAGACTCCATTTTTCGAAGAGAGGTGGTTTGGAGACTTTCTGGACATATTTAAAACCACTGCTCCAAGTTGCTACTAGATTAGTCTAGTGCTTGCAGGGTTGGGCTGTGAGCTGGTGGCCTGGAGTACCTGTCACAGCTCTCTAAGCCTTTTTCTTGGTGAAATGGTTTCAGCAGGAGAATCCAGTTGAAGGGTGAGTGTGGTATCAGGTTGAGGGATTACCTTGAGGTCAAATGATGTAGAACCTGTGAACTGCTCAATACGACTTCTGGTCTGTTCATAGTGGATGGTAGGATGTCTGTTGTTATTAATTAAAAAAAATGGTGGCACAGCCCGCAAGACACATGGTGGACAGGGTTCAGGAAAAGAAAGCATCACAGAGGAGGGTTTGAGTGATTTCAGCAGCGAGGAAACAAATTTTAGCCTCCACAGGCTGAGTGCCTCACACAGAGAGGATGGGAAAATTTACTAGGGAGTTAGGTACCCAGCTTCAACAGGGGCGAGTGTGAGTGATAACGCAGGAGATGGCAAGGTGATGTAATACTGCTGAGGGGCCCGCTGTGGGGCATGCGTCCCTCGTTCCAGACACTCTGTGCTCTAACTGAAGAACAGAGTAAGATTTTTTGTTTTGTTTTGTGTTTTCGAGACAAGGTTTCTCTGTACTTTGGTGCCTGTCCTGGAACTAGCTCTTGTAGACCAGGTTGGCTTCGAACTCACAGAGATTCGCCTGCCTCTGTCTCCTGAGTGCTGGGTTTAAAGGCGTGCGCCGCCACCACCCGGCCAGAGTAGGATTTTAAAGAAGAGGAAACCAATTGCTCAGCTTCAGTGCCTATGATGAAGAAGTTTCCCCAACACTACGGTTCCTTTTGATAATACTATGTGCTTAAATTTTCTATTCTAACCTGTAATTAACATATTTTAAAGGTGAAATGGTGAGCCTTCGCTCTGTCTGCTCTTTCCCCACCCAGCTCCCTCTGGACAGTGCGGACGAGACTTATGAACTACACGTAACTGGACATTCCCAGGATGGGCTTTTGTTCTCCAACAGCACACGCTTATCGTTTAACACCAAGAGAATGTCTGTCCTCATTCAGACAGACAAAGCATTCTATAAGCCCAAGCAAGAGGTGAAGTTTCGTGTGCTCACACTTTTATCAGACTTCAAGCCTTATAAGTTGCCGGTGAACATTTTCATCAAGGTAAGCAGCAGACAGAGACGGAGGATTTCCAGCCACTCCACTCAAGCTGTCTGGAGAGTTTTGCTCATGTTATTAGCATGAGTCATTTCTTAGTATTTCACCTCAGACGGGCTTCCTTCTCGACACGGCGGAGGTCCTCTGAATGGGGAGGGAGGGGGTAGAAGCTGGGCTAAGGGTTCAGGCTGTGGAGTCTGTCTGCTCGTGTCTAGTGCTGGCTCCATTACTGATCTGTCTGTCCATTCATCAGCTACTCACTGAATTTTTGTACTCCAGGAACTGGAACAGGCATTGAACAGAACAAGTCCCTGTTCATGTTGAATTTGGTTGTCAGCAGGTAGCAAGAAGGTTAACATAGAAACGCACATATGAGGGGATAGATATTTGTGTATCTGTATGTGTGACAGTGCATGGCATGGAGAGCCAGAGTCAGGGCAGAGAGTGCGTTAATCCTTAGTGCTTTCCCTAGAGTTGCCAGGGAAGAGCTGTGTGAGCACAGCCTGGAGGGAAATACAAGAATGAGTAAATAAAATCAGAGGAGGCAGAGCATCCCAAGGCCTGAAGCATTCAGAGGAAACAATAGGCCATGGCACAGGAGCTCAGGGAGTGAAGGGATGAGCATTAAGAGGTGAGGGTAACTGGAGGTGCTGGTTAGAGGAAACTTTGTCTCAGACAAAAAAAAAAGGCTGTGATTAAGATGCTGATATGTGAAGATATCATAGATAGGGTGCAATATTTATCATCGCGGCATGTTGAGGGTGGTCACTGACTTTTATCTATCCATCTTTCCTGCCTTAGTAACGGGCCTCAGGAAGGTCAGGGGCCTCAGAAACCATTTAGCAGTGGGGAAAGCATGTTCTATGTTGCCCCCAATTCTCCTCTATAGGCAGTTTAGTGGATCAGACACTGTGGTGGCAGCTGGCACAGCTGGCTTCTGCCCTGGACATTCTGCTGTAAAATTTGCTCTGAGTGGAGGTGAATCACCTTGTGTGGATACAGCTGTTTCTGACTTGGCCGGCGTGTCCTGTCTGAGCGTGAGTGCCGGCAAACATGAGTGGGCGCAGCTATTTAAGATGAGGAGGCTGCATCCCATGGCTGTGCTCCACCACTCTGTCCCTCCAGCCCCAAGAGCAACTTCTTGAAGCAGAAGTATTAGTTCCACCTCCTTTTGCTTGAGGGGCCCTGATGCCATCTGGAAGAAAACTCTGCCCCCGCCACCATAATCACCAGCAGCGTTTTTGTGATCCTTTTCCCTTAGGCAACCCTGAGAATTAATGTTTCAGCATTTCTTAAGTCTCTGTCCAGTCGATTGAGGAAACCCAGTAACTCATTGTTTTTATTTCCTTAATCACTAGACAGCACATATTTATAGCTATTTGTATTTCTTCCCGAGTCTTTTCACTCCCCAGCTCCCCCGTGTATCCTGCTGCGGCAGGTATGGCTCAGCCAACTGCTGGTTACAATGGCTGACCCAGGACTTTGCCCACAAGACAGTGACCTGTTTTCGGTCACAGATTTTAAGTTTCTGGCTGACACTACCCACTTAGTTCTCAGCACCATATTTATTTCCAACTTTCATGCCCCTTGTCCAGGAGAATTTTTTTTTCTGGTTTCTCATAACTGGACCAGCTCATTGTGTCTAGACAAAGGATAGAGAATAAGAAAAAGTGTGTGCTCCTTGTTCTCAAGAGCTCATAGGGTAGCTGGAAACAAAGATTTTTAAATTTTTTTTTATTGCTATTTATTGAGCTCTACATTTTTCTCTACTCCCGTCCCTGCCTCTCCCCTCCCCTTTCAATCCTCTCCCAAGGTGTCCATGCTCCCAATTTACCCAGGAGATCTTGTCTTTTTCTACTTTCTACTTCCCATGTAGATTAGATATTTGTAAGTCTCTCTTAGTGTCCACATTGTTGTAACTTTTTTCTAAAAAATGAAATACATAAAGAAGGATTTTGCTCCCTTTTACTGTAAGTCAGGAAGTATAAACTCCAGCTGTGCAGAGGCTCTCCTCAAAGTAAACGCCAGTGCAGATGCTATCCTCAAAGAGGCCACTGCTGCCAGAGGCAAACAGGAAGCTGAGCTTACACTGCCGGTAGACAGGAGAGGGAGGACATTCCATGCAACAGAGGTGCAGAGGGCTAGATTTTTGTGGTGCATGACAAGTGAATCTGTACATTGGGAAGAAGACGAACCTAAAGGTAGAGATGGGCCTGCGAGTGTGTAGGACTCCACTCCGGGCAGTGAAGCCATCTTCACCTCGGGTCCTGCTATGATTCTAACAGACACCGTGTGCTTGCCTGGGTCTGTGTCAAGCATTTCAACCCTATGCTTCATTGTCGGATCAGTTGTTCCGGATGAGAGTGGGCAGGAGTGGAAGGGTGGAATTGGTGGCCTTAGTTAGAGAGAGGGGTGTGGTGGGAAACAAACCGGAAAGAGAACGGGATAGAATCGGCAGGGCTGGGAGTGTGGGAGGAGAACGCTTTGCGTGGTTGCTGCGTGGAGCTGTTCTTGTCTATGAGGTTATGGGAAGTGGACCCTTGCTTAAGAGGCTCTCTGACATGAGTGTACATGGGTTTGAATCCCGAGTCCCGTCATGTGTTGCTGCTAGCGTATGGCCAGGCCAGTCAATCACAGTCGGGTGTACTCAGTCTCTCCAGCAGTCAGCTTTTCAACTGCAAGGAAAGGTTAATTCTGCTCCTTTTTCCGCCCTCCTCATAGTGTCATTTCTACTTTCAAATCAGATTATGCACAGGCACGTGTGCACACACACACACACACACACCAGTCCTGCTATACTGAAATGTAGATTCCGTGTATGAGAGAAAATGTGCTATTTGTCTTTCCGAGTCTGGCTTAGTCACTGAAGAATTATCATTACAGGTAAACGGGAGAACCCAGCACAGTGGGCCTTTAGTGAACGAGGGTGATAACTCCACAGTGAGAGCTCGTTTCCTCCCTCCCTCTTTTCCAGTAAACACAGTCATGGTTTTTATGACATTTTCATGCATGTATATCATTGTATTCTGCTAATAGTTACCATCCATCATCCATCCTTTTCCCTTTTCCCCTGGTTCCCTCCCCTTCCCCAAAGACGCTTTCATGTTATACGTATATGAGATGAATATATATCTGCGCACGGTGGCCAAAGTGGTACTCGTTCTTTTCCCTCTCATTTCTCTGTCCTTTAGAGTTCTTTCTCCCCCCACATAGTACCATTTCTACATAGAACACACAAAGAGACACAGACAGACCTTCCGACAGACAGACACACACATCACACCAATCCCGCTATATTGAAATGTAGACTCCATGTATGAGAGGGAATGAGGTACTTATCTTTGTTAGTCTAGCTCATTTCATTTAACGCGTTGTCTTCAGTTGGTCTACTTTCCTGCCAGTGGCACAGATGGCAGACCTTCTTCCTTTACCATGCACACATACCACATTTTCTTTATCCATTTCCATGTAGATGGCCATTTAGTCTGCTTTCATATCTTTGCTATTGTGACTAGTGCTCAATAAACATGGACGTGCAAGTATGTTGACCTAGATTCCATCAGATGTTTGCCGAGGAGTGACAGACTCAGACCAAGTGGTAACTCTAGCTTTGTTTCTTGAGGACCCTCTGTTCTGGTTTTCATATTTCACTGGTTTGTATATTAGGGGGATTTCTTTAAGTCACTGATGTAGGTTTGCTGGAGTGCACACTGCGTGTCCTCTATAGAGGGAACTATAGCATCAGGAATTAAAAGGTGGCTCAGAATCTGCGTGGTCTCAGGAGAAGTCATGGGAAAGGAAGACAGTTTGATTTCTTTTCCTTAGTGATATAGATCTGTCATTTTCCAAAAACTCCCTGTGTTGTTTCCTTTCTCAGGGCTGTGACAAAATGCCCGTGGGAGCACCTCAAAGAAGGGTCAGTGTTGGCTCATAGTTTGAGGGTGCAGTCCATCATGGCAGGGACCATGGTGGTGGTAAAATGCAGTGTCGCTATGGTAGCACGAGCATGAGGTAGCTGGTCGCATGACATCTGTGTTCAGGATGCAGAGGGAGATGAAAGCCGCCTGTCTTCAGGCTCCCCTTCTCTTTTCTCCCCTGATTCACTCTGAGTTGAGCCCCTTTCTTTCTTCCTTCCTTCCTTCCTTCTTTCTTTCTTTCTTTCTTTCTTTCTTTCTTTCTTTCTTTCTTTCTTTTTTGAGACAGGGTTTTTCTGTATAGCTTTGGTGCTTATCCTGGAACTAGCTCTTGTAGATCAGGCTGGCCTCAAACTCACAGAGATCCACTTGCATCGGCCTCCCGAGTGCTGGGATTAAAAGCGTGCACCACCACTGCCCCGGCAGTGAGCCCACCTTCATGGCGGGTCTTCTGTCCTCAGTTATACCTTCACAGATTCCCCCCACCCCGCCAGGGGTGTGTCTCCTAGGTGACTTCAAACTCTCCTCCAGTTGACAATGAAGTTTAACCATCATGTTATCTTAGTGCCATGTTTTGGGGGAAAGTTCTGGGCTGCCTAGGGAAGGTGGGTACTGCCAGGCATCATTCCCAAGTAGGATCCACTTTCTCTTGGGCAGCCTTCCACAGATAACACTAATGGTTTGGTTTTTGTTTTAGGATCCAAAGTCTAACATGATTCAACAGTGGTTTTCTCAGCAAGGTGATCTCGGGGTCATCTCCAAAACTTTTCAATTATCTTCTCATCCAATCCTTGGGGACTGGTCCATTCAGGTTCAAGTGAATGTGAGTATAAATATACTTTTTTGGGGAGAATATAAAAATTGTTTAAATTGTTCACGTGTTAAAGTTTCGAAGTCATTCTATGAACAGAAATAAATTACCATGACCATCTAGACAATTCCAGTGACTTATTGTTAATTTGCTATATTTCTCAATAGGGTGGGCTTCATTACAATCATTGCTTTTTTCAATCATAGCCTGTTTGAAGGTTTAAACATTTTGTCATTTTGTTCTAAAACAGAATAAATGTGTGCTTATTAATTGCATGTGCTGACTCTTCTAAGATTGAGTACTGAACACAAAATTCTCCAACTGGCACATTTTATCTTTCACAAGAATGATTCAAATGAGCAACTGGGCCAACCTGCGTTGTTCTTGCTATAAGAAATCGTGGCTTTACAGTCACATTGATGCTGTTCCTCAGGTCTTTCTCCTCAGAGTTCCTGCCTGCCTTCTCCATCTACTTCCCTCAAGTACACATCTGTGACCTAAAAGGACAGGCAGGAGCAGTAGAGTGTGCCCTCTGTTGCTCTCTGCCTCAACTTCCCTCAGATACATTATTATTTTTTTTAAGTTAGGATTTATATTGCTGCAATGAAACACCATGACTGTAAGCACTTTGGAGAGGAAAGGGTTGATTTCCCTTCTGCTTCAGCATCATAGTCTGCCATTGGAAGAAGTCAGAGCAGGAATTCAAGTAAGGCAGGAAGCTGGATTCAGAGCAGATGCCGAGATCATGGAGGGGAGCCGCTGACTGGCTTGCTCTCTCCATAGCTTGCTCATCCTGCTTTCCTATGGTACCCAGGACTACAAATGGCCAACCCCAGCAGCCGTCAATTGCCAACAGTTGTCCAGCTAGGGGTAGGACTTTAGGAGCCCCGCCCTCATCCGTGGTGGGATTTTGTTTGGCTTGTCTTGTATTGCTTATGCCGTTACAGCCACTTTTGAGTCCTGTGGCCCTGTCATGGCTGCTGCTGTCGGCTCTTTGTAATTGTAAAAATTGTAATTTTTCCACCCTCTCTTCCGTGATACCTGAGCCTTGAGGGTAAGGGGGGTGTGACATAGATGTTCCATTTGAAGTTAATCACTTCATAATCTCTTATTTTCTATATGTTGACCAATTGTGGGCCTCCGTGTTAGTTACTGTCTACTATAAAAAGCTTTGTTGATAAGGGCTGAGACATGCATTAATCTATGGGTTTCAAGATAGGAACTTAGAAGACAATTTAGTTCTGCGTCCACTTAGCAGAATAACGGTATTAGGTTCTCTTCTAGGGCTTGTGACCTAGCCAGCTGTGGACTTCTGGCCTAATTAATAGTACCTGGCATGAGTTCTGTCTTGAGGAGTGGATTTTAAATCCAAGTAGTTGGTTACCTAAAACCAAGTGGTTGGTTGCTCAGATAACATTTGTGCAACTATGTGTTTGCACACACGGGCATGTCTTGCTAGGCAACTCACTACTGTAGATAGACACACGGTCACAACTGAGTAAGACTTGGTTAATTTCCTCCCCTAGTGGTACATCTAGGACCTTCCAGAGAGTAGGGAACAAACTTCTAGATTGGTACTAGTTTGATTTTTCCACGTCTTATAATTCAATATGTGGTGTCTTCAGTAACAGGGTCTGGAGGGCAACCAGGAGCATTAGTAATAGCCGGTGATGTTTGGGGGAGCTGTGGGGCTACACAAAGAAAAGAAACTCATAACAGGACCTGAGCTTTTTATTTGCTAGTTTCTGGTATCTGGAAGTAGCATCCTCCCCATTCCCCCATCCAGTTATAGGAAAACTCCATTTTAATTTCTTTTATGTTTACATGTATATATTTTAGGAAGCTTCTAAAGTAGTAGTTTTCTATATGGTAGTAGTTTTGTATATGGTCTTTTCAGAGGTCTTCAGTGTTAGTTGTATTGTTCCCCTGCTCCTCTATGTTCCCTTTTCTACAATACAATATTCTTGATTCAAACATGACTTATTGATAAGAGGACCTTTGGAAAGCACATAAAATACAGTTTTTGTGACCTCTTAGAATTGTCTCTCCACAAGGGAGCAACCCAGAGGAATAATTTAGTTCTGTTTTTGAGCTATTAAGTCATTTAACTTCTTGGATCTTTCTAGTTGGTACCTTTTCTTTTTCTTTCTTTATTTTTTAAAGAGGGTCTCATTATGTCTGCCTCTGTCTCCGGGGTGCTGGGATCACAGGCATGGACCACTGCACACAACTTGCTCTATTTAAAAGTAACGTGACCAGGTGATGGGTTAGTGTGCCTGCCACACCTCAATCTTGCGGTGCTCCTTTATAGGTTCGGGTGAAAGAGTCATACTTGGTGTAACTATTAAGCGCATTTGTCTGGTCTATCTGATATGAGTTGCAATATTCACAGGTCTAATTCATTATTGGCAAAAATTATTTATCTGTTCATGCTTCAAAAAAGTAAAGGGGTTCTCACCTTAGAGAAAAACGTTATTCAGACATGAGTTGCAACTCAAGTGACCCTTGATTTTATTCTGAGTGAAATCAGCCTCAAAAGGGCAACTGCTGTGTGATCTCAAGTAAATGCAATATTCAGGATATAGAATATCAGAGAAATACAGGGTGGAATGGTGGATGCCAAGGAGGGGTGGGACAAGGAGGTGGAGTTGTTCTGATGGTGTAGTTTCTGTTCTGCAAGAGGAAATTCCAGAGATCTGTTGCCAACAATGTGGGCAACAACACCACAGAACAGCGCTTGGAGATTGCTATATGGCAAATTCATGCCACTCAAATTAAAATTAGTAGAAAAATCAGTGTCACCTATTTATGAGATATGTTGGTCATTGAGTTTATAATACTTACATTACTCTATAGTTTGTGATAGGCAGACGAGTTAATATTTAATCAGTTTTTATGTAGATCCTGGAAGAGGTGCGAGATGATGGATCAGGTGAGATGCGTGAAATAGCACCTACCCGCAGCAGAGTAAGGAAGGAATCCTGTGGGCAAGCCGTGGGGACTGACTGACTTAAGGGCTCAGCGCTAGAGTCCTATGAGACTCTTACATCTGCTCAGTGGCCAGCGGTGTCTGCAGATGTTTGTACAGCTACCAGCTTCAACCTTGTCAATTTAGCTGATCTTTCTGGACGCACGACACGGCTCTGAAGACTGTATTGGAGGCAGTGTTACAAAAGAGGTTCATATATGCAGCAAGTGTTCATAATACTTAAGTATTCGTAAGTGTTTAAATACTATATGTAAGATTTGTAGTGGAGGTGTTTGCTTATTTTCCTGATTCGTAGCTTAGCATAGTAATAACTAAAACAAAAATCTAGACATTAGAAAAATATGAAATTGGAGAAGATGCAGGAACTGTTGGCCACCATGAGAAATGTTGATTTTCAAGAGTCTCCCCGTATAAGCACTGACACACTATTATAATAAAATAAATATATTTATAGTATATAACAAGTATATAATGTAGTAAATTTTATGAAGGCTGACATCTCCTCTGGGAAAGCACAGACACAGTTTGTATATATGTTCTCATTTATTTTTCATCGATAATTCTGTGATAATGGCACAGCTATGCCCATTTTAAGACAGGAAGACCACGGCCTAGAAATTAACTTCTCAAGAACACTGATGTGGGAAAGGGGAGCTGTTTTGACCTCCCATTTGACCTATAGCTCAGTCCAGAATCAATGGCAGCTCTCTAGTTCCTGTATTGCTCTAAGCCTCAGGTCATCCACACTAGAGCAATGAACAGCAAAGGTAATCTACAAATACATAAGGAGCGTGTGTTCCAGACCTTGGACCAGGCACAGTGCTTGCATATATGATAACAATTATTATTTGTCTTGATATAAATGTGATTTTACAATTTTCGCATTTTAGAAGGTATCTGTATCCTTTTCAAAACAAACGCTAAGTGCTTATTGATGAAATGCCAAAAGAGACTTACAAGAAAAAAAGATAGATCCCCGTTAACAAAATTGCCGGCCATTAGGGGTCAGTATACTCAAAGGCATGTTTGAAATTGGCTCTGGCCGGTGGCCTCACTTCTGGTTTTTGTCTTTCTTTAACTCCTGCTTTGCGTCCAGGGGCTTTATATTTTATCACCTACTTGTTTTAGCAGTGAATCAGGACTATGGATGGGACAGACTCATTATTCGAACAAGCCACCATCAAATACCTTGTTTGTATTTTTTGAGGCAGTGACCATTCCCATTACAAAACTGGGGGAAATGATTTTCAAGAGAGAAATTTGAAACCTCATTTTCTTCTGTTTGTAGAAAAACTGTGAAATAATGTCCACATCACTACGGAAAGACACTGTCAGAGGTCTCGTGTGTAGTGACTGTAGATAACCAGAAAGTGCGTGTTTTAGTCACACGGTCCCTCAGGGCAGGAAAGGATGCTTCGGTGAGACAGCCTGTGGGTTCCTCAGCAACTATCCAACTCTAACGTGTTCATTTACAGGATAACACAGCCAGTCGTTTCTCCCTGCTAGCCTTTCTCGAATAACTTAAATTGCATTTGGTCATTATGTATTTCTTCCCCTCCTTCCCTCTCTCCCTCCCTCCCTTCCGTTTTTATTACATAATTTTAAAAAATTGGCTCTTTGGGAGTTTCACATCAACCATCCCAATTCCATCCAAGCATTGCTTTCATTTTCAGGATTTTGGGGTAATGACTTTTGTGGTGTGTGTGGTGTGTGTGTGTGGTATGCAGGTACATGTGTGTTTGTGACTGTGTTGTGTGTGTGGTAGCATGTACATGTGTGTTTGTGACTGTGGTGTGGTGTGTGTGTGTGTGTGGTATGCAGGTACATGTGTGTTTGTGACTGTGGTGTGTGTGTGTGGTAGCATGTACACGTGTGTTTGTGACTATGGTGTGTGTGTGGTAGCATGTACACGTGTGTTTGTGACTGTGGTGTGTGGTGTGTGTGTGGTAGCATGTACACGTGTGTTTGTGACTGTGCTGTGTGATGTGTGTGTGTGGTATGCATGTACATATGTGTTTGTGAC